TGATTAAAATGTTATGTGCATAACTGTGTTCTGGAGATTCAATTTGTTTTAGTTTACAATAAATACCAAAGCTGTCAGGTTGAAAAATCCGCCAACAGTCTTTCTTAGACTAAATGAAAAGCATTATGAGAAATATTGATAACTATTAATTGAAAAGATGGATTTGGTTCCACAACATACCATTATTTTTGCAACTCTTAATCTTTGGATTATGTTGTATTACTGTCTCATACTCTATTGGGAAGTAATCGCAATTAATTATTGCGCGTTGTGAGTTATCTCTTCTTTGGAGAGTTTATTTCTTCAGTTTGTTAGGTGAGATATTTCACAACTTGATAAACTTGCGGACGTATAAATTTGAAATTAGTATGCCATACTTAAGTGGGCTCTTTATCAATTTTCTTGCAAGTAAACTCAATTTGCATTTACGATAATATGAAATCTTTGTGCAAAGTATGATGGCTGTATCGAGTGAGATCTCAGCCAAGACCTAAAACAGAAACTCCACCAACTTGAAGAAAAGCCATAGAACCCAACAACATACCACCAAGCACAGAAGAATATTACTCATTTAATAATGCAGATGTGGTGTATCAGGTAACAAAAGAAGAAGAAATGCTACTAAGCATATTGGCATGACAAGTATTGGCTTTGTTTTGTTGCCCGGGCAACTAGGAGTAGTTCGTACGTTTTTAATTTGCTATTTATAATAAATATTTTCACACATACATGCTTTATTACAATAATGGGAAAGTATGAGTGAGTGTAGAGTTCAAAAACCATTTATCAAACTAATTAGGGAAGATTCGTCTGTATCTCAGCAGAAGTTCTGATATTGATTGAGGATTTGATTTTGGTTTGGTAAAAGTACAATTCTTAAAGAGAGTTGTGAATCCAAATAATGGACCAAGTATTTGTCGTGTTATTTCTTGTTTTGTTTCAATTATGGAGTTTCTGTATGTAGGAACCATTGAATGCAATACTTAATTATAGAATCAAAAAACAAGTCTATTTGTACAGTACAATAAGAATCATATCCATAAATGAATCTTCTTATCATTGAAAATTAACCATTTTCCAATCCATTTCTCCAACAAAACAAAATTTGCGCTTCCAGGCTATTGTCTTGTTCAAAAATCAATTTCTCTTAAATTATTACACCTCACTCTTCTTCACGTCATAATTAATTCTAAAACCATGAATAAAGAGGTTCATTGATCTTAATAATAATAAATTTATTTTTTTTAATGATTCCTCTTCCATTGAGCAACTTGATGTTTAATTTGTTCAAAAACTTTTCTAACATCATCAGTTGAAGTGGCACAACATTCGTGTATCCAAATTCTTTGTTCATCAAATTTGTTTAAAGATAAAAATTTGTTTCTAATAAATTGAACACTTTCATCATAATCTTGTGAACCATTGTAATCTTTAAAACATTGTTCAATACCATGAACTTCAAGTTTCTTTTTAAATATATCAGTCTTATTTAAAACAATAATAATTGGTGTTTCTTTAAAAAATCCATTACATAAACCTTCAAATACAGTTAATGAATCATCCATTCTATTCAATGAATCATCTTCATACATTTTTAAATCATAATCTGCTAATGATGATACATATACAACTGCACTAACTCCTTCAAAACAATTTACCCATTTCTTACGTTCACTTCTTTGACCACCTATAAAATTAAAATAAAAATTAAATAATAATAAAATAATTAAATTAAAATAATAAAATATTAAAATATTAAAATATTAAAATATTTAAAAAAAACATACCAACATCAAATAAACTAAATTTTAAAGATTCATGATCGAATGAAACTTCAACAATACCAATAGTTTTTTGACGACAATATAATAAATCTTCCTCAGATGGAATGTAATCATTTTTTCTAATTATATCTAAACGTTCAAAGAAATATTCAGCACCATCAAAAACATGAACATCATTTCTATTATTTTGAAATACTTTTTGAATAGTTGAATCTTTCCATAATTGATAAATATCATTAGCAATTTCATCAGTATAAAAATTACGATCACCTCCTTTAACACTTGTTGTTGATGTCATGAATGCTCTATTCTTACTTAATTGTAATACACGTTCTGCACATTTACTTAATTCTTCACTTGAGAATTCCAAGTTTAATTCTTTTAATTTTTGACACATTACTGCCATACTTGAAACTACATTGAAATGAACTGTATTTTTAACACGACGACGTTCATTCTCTAAAAATGGTCTTGTGATATAATACGAACTTGTTTGAAAAATGTTGATTTACCTGATTCACCTGATCCTAATAATAATAATTTTACATCATAATTTCCTGAATTTGGATCAGCATTTTCATTCATTTCATCACCTTCATTATTATTATTTGGATCATTATCATTGATACGTTGATTATTCTTACTTTTTACCATCTTGATTGGAAGATTGATTATTTGATGATGATGATATGTGAACCATCAGTTTTACCAAAACATAAACCCATTATTATTATTTGTTTGTTATTTGTTTGTTATGTGTTTGTTATTGTTATTGTGTTATATTACTTTTTAATAGTACTAATTGTAGTAGTAGTAGTATATTAGAATAGTGAAATGTAAATAATAGATAATATTATTATTATTCTTGTTGTATACAGAAGATGACACTATTAAAAAAATATTTTTTGACAAGAGATAATTGGAAAATAGTAAATTTGTTATTGTTGTATCAAAACAAATCACGTTGTTGTAGATAAGGAGGTGGGTACTGCGAGTTTTTGTAGTTTAGTTCACTCTCACAGCAGGGAGTCGTTCAAAATTTTTTTTTGATGGGAAAGTGATTAATGACAGTTGGAAAATCCACAACAGGCTTGAAAATAGTCTTGTTTGTTTGCGATGGCTAGTTAATGGAAGAACAACTTCACAAGACACTGAAATTTAGTTTCCCGCTCAAAATTACAAAACATACCAAGGAAAAGACAACGAATCAATTTTATTCAAGAAGGATTCACCAAAATATATTTACCCACCACATCAAAGACTACTGCAAAGAGGCTATTAGACTTGTTATCCAATCAATAAAAGAATTCTAATTGTGTTGAATACATTTGAATATCTCAATCAGATTCCATTTATCAAATGCATTGAATATTATACATTGACATATTCCCAAATGTTTGAAACAAGTAGTGATATCTAATTTATTATTTTATAATGATATATCAGTAAATCATCTTTTGATGGTCCATAACATATTCGGTTGAGATATTTCATATTCTTTCCAATTTAGAATAAAAATTAATAGATTCAATTTATTTATATGAATTTTAAAAAGTTAGAAAGTTCATTTGACATTAATATGAAAATTCATTAATATATTTTCAATTATTAATTAAATAATATTTTCCACCAAAATAATTTCAAAAATGAAATAATACACTATTATTAATGTAGTTTTCCTTCTCTTTCCACAATTTCCGAATATGTGATGTGAATGCAACTAGTGTATTAATGGAATGACATTTTTTTTGAACTAATTACCTTTTCAAAAAAAACAAACAGAATTTAAAAAGCATTTGAATTAAAAAATTTAATAAAAATTTAAAGAGAATCAATTAAAGAATCCTTCAAATCAGTCACAACACCTTCTGGTTTAGAATCTCTCAAGTTGAAAATGGATTCAACAACAGAAATTTCAGTACTTGTTGTATTAAGACCACAGAAAGCAGCCCAATCGTTAACGACTAAACCAGCTCCTATCGATTCTGAACCTCTATTTATAGTACCTGCAACGATTGGAACTTGAAGAAGTTGAGATAATTTGTCTTGTTCTTTAACAGAAGTCTTTGGATGGACAATACCACCTTGATTACTAAAAACGCAATAACTTCCAACAAGTGGATTACCATTAATTGTAGTACGGAATGTTTCAACTCCCAATGTATCTTGTATAATTTCTTCTGTATTCTTATCCATATCTTTGTGTATAAGAGCAACATAATCATTACAAGCAATACAATTACCAAGAGCAGATAATCTATCTTCAACACGTGTAAGTTTAACAGATTCAGGTAAACAATTTCTCAAGTGCATCAATTCTTGATCAGTTGTTGTTGATGGAACAACAAGACCCTTCTTATTACCAGCACACAATGTACCAATAATTCTACAGCCTGCAATTGTTGCATAATTGACTGGAATATGATCAATAAGTTCAGTTTCAAAGGAAGAATAAAAGTTAGCACTAGTACCTTGAGCAACAAGTGCATAACCATTAGTTAATACGGAAAAGACACCAATATCACTGGAGCTTTGGAATTGTGTTCTAGTAGCCATTTTATATTATTTGTTATATGTTATTATTATTTATAAAGATTTTGTGTCAGAGAGGCTTTCTTCGGAAAAGTTAAAAGGAAGGAGGGTTGTTGATGATTGGTGTGATGAATATTTTTTTGAAACGCAAAAATAATTATTTTTAATTGCAATTCATCCTCACACTGATAGGCTTGTTCAAAATCATGCTTGAAGTTTATTCTGGGATTGTGTGATAGGGAGTTGTCAATATGCTGATGGTGCCTAGCTTGAATTTTAACAAGGGTGTTGGATGATATTGTTTTTATGACACTATGAAAAGATCTCTCCGAGTTGATGATGAGTAACAATTTCAATCTCATAATGAACAAATAAACAGTTACATTAACAATATATATTTAATATTAAATATTATTATTTATTGTTACAAAATTATTCAATATAGTCATCAATAAAATCAGAGGCAACATATTCAATTGGTTGTTTTGATGATGATTGAGGCATTGATAAAGTATTAGGACTAGTAATATTATTATTATTAGATGATGTACTTGTTGTTAAAGGTTGTAATGAATTAAATGAATCATTCATAATAGAATTATTAGTAGGAGTAGTAGAGAATGGAGTGGATGGAGTACTATTTGAATTATTTGATGATAATTGTTGTTTCAATTTTGATATTTCATTTCTCATATCTTCCTTTTCAAATTGTAATTTAATAATCATTGTTCTTAATTCATCTACATTTGAAGGTAAATCAAAATAATTTGAATAATTTCTATTAAATGATTTAAATTCATCATCATCATCATTATATTGATTTTGAAACATTTCCTCTTCTTCTTCATTATAAAAACCATCTCGATGTGATATTTTATCATAATACAAATCTGGATCATTATATTCATCTGGATATGGATATATTTTAGGTATAATATCTTGTGGTGTATTTTCACCATGTAATAATCTATCGATACTATATTTGTTAGGTAATTTTTTAATTGGTTCCATCATGTACCATTTTCTATTGGGTCTAATTCTATATAGAGTATTAAATACTTCAACTTCTTCATCATTATCATTACTTTCTAATATAGCAGCATTTGTAGTATTATTATTATTATTAGAAGTATTAGTAGAAGTAGTAGTAGCAGAAGTAAATGTCTTTCTTCTTAATTCTTTATAGGCTTGTTGAATGTATGGATTACATGTATCTTTTAATTGTTTGAGTGGAAGTGATGAATCTCTATTAGATGATCCATCTAATATACCTAAATTAAGTGCAGCAGCACTATTAAACATTCTTCTAGTTGGTAGTATGGTTTGTTTTCTTGAATATTCAGGTTCAACATTTTCATTAGATAATGAAATGGTATTTCTTGTATTTTGTTGACTACTATTACTACTACTACCACTACTATTACTACTATTATTATTATTACTATTATTAATAGATTGACTTGTTAATGGACCAATATTACCAGTAATATCATATAATTGAGCAGTATTTGATAAATTATTACCAATAGAACCAACAGTAGTAACACTATTTAATAGAGATGGTGAATTGAAATCTAAATGATGATCTAATTGTTGATCGAGTAAATTTCTTGGATCATCCATAAATAATTCTCTAAAAGCATCAATATCATGATTTAACATTTTACAAATGGTATCATCAATTTGTATAATTTTTTGTACTTGTTCTTCATATTCAATTAGAGATTCAGATTCTTTCTGATAAATTTGTTCTAATTTTTCTGATTGTTTTGAATATTCATCTTTATAATTTTTATAATATTGTAATTTAACTTCTAATTCTAATTCACATGTAATTAAACGATCAGATATTTCTTTTAATTTTTCAGAATTAACATGTTTTTGTAATAAATTTTTAGATAATATCATATCATTAGATTTAATTAATTTAACATGTTCAATTCTCTTATTTTCAATTTTTAATTTTGATTTACCAAATAATTTTTCATTTTTTAATTCTAATTGTTCAATATTTAATGTTGTTTCTGCTTCCATTTCATCTCTTTGTAATTGTGAATTAAAACTAAATGTTAATTTAACTTGTTGTGTTTTAATAAATGTATTCATTATAAATGTATATTTACCAATACTATTAGATGTAATTGAACTTAATTTTAATAATTGATTAGAAGGTGAACTTGATTCAACATTTGAATCATTTTTATCTTTAATTTGACTAAATGCTAAATATATAGCAAATGATTCTCTAGCAATTCTATTACGTTCTTCTTCTTCTATAGAAGAATTAGATGAATCTAATTGAGAGGATGATGAATCATTTAATGATGATGATGATGAATTATTATTATTACCAAATATATTACTACTACTACTATTATTGGATGAATTATTTGAATTATTTGAATTAGATAGATGAATTATTAATAGATGGTACAATTAATAACATGTCATTAAATAAATAAATATTATAAAAACCAAATAATCTCTTCTTTTCAATTTCTCTTGAAGATTCAACATGAATAGAATTGAAACAAGTTGTAAATTTTCTATGTGCTTGAAGTAAATTATTAAATCTTCCTTTCATTTTCTCTTGTAAATCAAAAACAATTTTATCATTTTCAGCAATTCTTTTAGATTCATTTAAATTTTCAGCAACTTGATTAACAATTAATAAAGCTTGTTCTAATAATTGATAATCTATATGTGTTTCATCTGTTCTTCTTATTACTTCTTGTAATAACATTCTAATACGTGGTACTCTTTGAACTGGACATACTAAATAAGATAAAAAAGTTAAACCACAACATTCTGACATTTCATGTGTTTTTGTTAGAAATTGTGAAAATGATTTTGATGTTTTTTCTAATTTTTCAACCTTTTCAGCAACACTATCAAAATTATTAATATATTTAGAATACATTCTAAAAAAAGGAGCAAATGATTTAAATATATTACCAATTAAAATTGGATTTGTTGGCCATTTATCAATTTCTTTTTTTAAATCATTCATTAATAATTGACTTGCTTGCATTATATTAGGTAATTCACCAAATATATCATTTATATCTGAAAGTGATAAAGTTGGTTTCTTTTTAGTTTGTGCTTCATTTAGTAATGGATCCATAAATAATTGTTTACATGTTAATAATGAATTAAAATAAGTTTGTTCTGTTGTTAATATTTCTAATAAGGCTGCTTTTCTTAATCTTGCTTGTCTTACTTGTGGTGATTTACTTATATATTCTTTAAATTGCTTTTTATAGTAATATTTTAATAATTTTAATGATATTAATTCTTTAATTTCATTATTTATATTTATATTATTATTATTATTAGAAATATTATTATTTATAATATTATTATTTGTAATATTATTATTTATAGATGAATTAATTGATAATTTAGGTGATATTATAGTAGTACTTGTATTATTAAAAGAAGGAGGAGGTAAATCAAGTGAAGGTAAATCCATAGAAGGAAGTGCAGTTAATGAATTTAAACGATTAGATGATGATGAGGATGATGTTGTTGTTGCTTTTATAAATGAATTAGTACGATCATGTAAAATAATATCATCCTCATCTGAATCTATATCTTCATCATCTTCATATTGACTTGTATCTCCACCATTATAATTATAACTATTACTATCATCAAATGTTGT